ATATATATAAAAGAGAGCTATGAAACCTGTTGCTTAAAGCAAAATTAACAAAATAATTAAGAAGGCAAGCATTATCTGGGCTGCAATTTTAAAACCAGACTCAGACAAAATAGTAAAAAACAAAAGTTTTATTAAGAAAGTGATAAAACTTTATAGGACAAACAATAATATGAACTAAATCCAAGTATTTTTAAAGCAGGCCTGGTAAGAATTTCATCACTTACTCTTTGCGTGATGCTGCTCAAGTATGAGCAAACAGTAAATAACATCCTTCCTAACCCATTTCTTTATACTAAGCAATCTTTTCATTTCTCAGATTAATGACTCTCAAACTTACATCATAAACACCCAGGGAGCTTATAAAAAAGAATAGAAAGATTTGTTCAACAAATATCTGAAGTCCTACTCGGTATACACATTGTTCTAATCTCTGGAGATGCAGCAATGAACAAAACAGGCAAAGAGTCTTGCCCTCATGGAGTTTATGTTTGCATTACGTACGTGAGAGTGGGGGAGGCCAGGGAGAAAATAAGTAAAATATCATGTGTCAGATGGTGGTAGATGCTATGGAGAAAAGTCAGAAGTATGCTGAATAGAGGTGGTTATCTGAATCAGGACATTCAGGGAAGGCTTTACTGAGATGTTGACATTGGGGATGGGGGGAAGATAAGGACCTGGAATTCTACTCTAGGTGACACAGAAAACAGTGGGAGTTTTAAGCAGTGACATGATCTGCCTTCGTTTTAAAAGGCTCCCTCTGGCTGCTGTGCTGAGGACAGACAGCAGGGAGGCATGGGTAGAGGCAGTGGTCAGTGAGCAGGCTCCTTCAATAATGCACGTGAGAAATGAGACACCTTGGGAGTAACAATAGTAAACATGGTGAGTAGATAGATTCAGGATATATTTATTTAAAGAGAATCAACAAGATTGTTTGACTGAATTTGGGATATAAGATAAAGAACAGAGTCATCAAAGACTCCAAGGATTTGGCCTGAGAAACTAGAAAGACAGTCATTTATACTGAAATCAGGAAGTCTATAGCTGGATATAAAAGTTTAGAGGTCAAGGGAAAGGTCTGAGTTGGAGATATAAAAATTTAGAAATATATAAAAGTATGAAAAGCCACAGAACTGGATGAGATCATGAAGAAAGTTGGTGTAGAGAGAAGAGACTGGGCAGATAGCCCCCTCCCCCCCCAAGGTGACTTAGGGCGCAGTCACCTGAACAAGCTTCCCAAGTGAATGTGGTATATTCCAAAGTTTGAAAAATTCCACTGACAAATGTTAAGATAAACCTCAGGTTGAACTACAGAATTTTAACTAAGTTTAATATTATTTATAATTTTATAAAATAAAAGCTACTTTTCCCCTAACAGTTCATGAAAATTTTTCATGAAAAACAAATACCTATCATAAATTAGACCATTAACTCCAAATTCCTTCAATTTCTTCCTGTTTTCGGGATCGTTGGTATCATCACCCCAGCAGAATATGACTAGTCCCTTAGCTTTTGCTTCTTGAATGTAGGATGGGTTTCTGAGCAGGTCTTCAGTATGTGCGTTTATCCCCTAATGGAAGAAAAATAAGTTACATGTGAAAAAGCAACTTAACTGCAAATGCTAAATGGCCATACTCTACATCAGTGCTCTCCAAAGTAGAGTGGGCAGGAAAAAAAAAAAAGTACAATTTTTTCTATCAAGCAACTGTACAGTCTAGCCATTTTAGATGATTCATAAAACCCACTCAACTACAAAACTTACCTAACCTAGGCCTGCAAGGAAGTATATATTTTTTGCTCATGTATCTGTTTTTGATTCTAAGATCTAATACCCTCATTTTTAAGTAGAACTATCTGCTTGTTATACATAGATCAAAACTAACCAATTAGATGTGTAGCATAACATGAAACTTTATTTACTGCTGCTCTAAAACATTTAAAAAAAAATTATAATTAAGAAATTCAAACAACTTACCAGTAGATTTTCAAACTGTGCAAAACTCATTGCAATAGCAGTTGTCCGAGATCTGAGGTCCATGAGTTCAGGGTAAATATCAGACTTTCCTTGAGTCAAAAATAATATGGGGTATTTGTTCTGCTTGTGCCGAACCCTAAAAAAGACAATTTAAAAAATGCCTCTTCATTGGGGAGATAATTATAAGATAGTTTTGAAACTTTAGAAAGTAATATTATATATATATATATATATATAAAAATAACACTTCCCCCAAAAGCATAATTCCATTAGTGAGATATAACCACCATTAATATGCATCTATTGCATTTCAGTCAAAAAATTTAAAAAATTTAATTATTCTATGTAAGAGCTAAACTGTTCTCAGAAATGAGCAGCAAGAGAGCCCTTGAGGGCTTACAACTTGGTAAGGAAGATGTTACATGCAACACAGGGTATGAGGCATTAGGACCTAGTGGGCGTGGAGATCACAGGAGTGAAGGGTATCCCAGCAGGTAGTCCTGAAGGGAAGTGAGGATACACATAACTTGACTGACAGGACAAATCAAGGGTGAAGTCTGGGCACCTCCCCACCTCCAACCATAATCTTTATACCCTAAGTCCTAGCTACAGTCTAAGAGTATTGGGGGAGGGTGATGATTACTCACATTGTGCAAATATCTGGATCAAATGAAGAAAACACTATTCTTCTCTTCCCAGAATTTTCTAAGACAGTTTTTAAAATGATATCCAAAAACAGATTCATGTCAAAATACGTTGATAAGTTCCCATCCCACATTCCATCCTATGCAGAAGTAAACAGGAAAACAAAAGTCATTAGCCACCTGAGGCTCACAGTGCTAGAAAAGATCATCTAGTCCAACTCGTATTCTACAAATGAGAAAAGCAAAGGCCTGAAAAGATGAAGTGACTTGCTGTGACAAAGCAATTATACGTACCATCAATAGACTTTTGTTTTAATAAGGTAACAAATAAAAGCTAAAACTGGAAATTTGCAATCTATTGTGACTTTTTAAATAGTTTTATATACTCTTCATAAACTTTAAGACAGAAAGACTCCACTCACTTGCTAACTCATTACCAAAAACCCCCAAATCCTGCCCTGGCCGGTGTGGCTCAGCGGTTAGTGTGTCGGCCCCCACATCAAAGGGTCACGGGTTCGGTTCCCTGCCAAGGGCATGTGCCTAGATTTCAGGTTTCGGCCCTAGCCCCGGTTGGGGCATGTGCAGGAAGCAACCAACTGATGTTTCCTCTCTCTCCCCCTTCCTCTCTCCCTTCCACTCTCTCAAAAAGCAATAGAAAAAAATATCCTTGGGTAAGGATTAACAAAAAAATAATAATAATAAAGGTGCTGGCAGTTAAGAAAAAAAAAGAAAAGAATATCCCTGTTCTAGAAATTTGGAGCAGGGTAAACATAAAAATAAAATAAAATTTAAAAACCTGGTAATTATGAATTGCTAGTTAAATATCTCATTTTTTGGATCATAAGCATATCAAGTACCCTGAACAAATAATAAAAATAATTCTCTAAATATAGCTAAAATACCAAGAGTCCTGTTGATATTCAAAAATAAAATATTTTAATTAGAATATCATTAAAATTAAAATAAATTTATTCATTAAAATAAATCAAAAAGCTCAGAAAACTAAAAATTACTTTAGTTGAGCACTCACTATGCTAACCAGGAGCAGCTGATCATAAATACTTAGCAGGCATGATTTGAGGGCAGTTAGGATTATTCTGACCCAAACAAATTCCAGGATATTGTTCTGGCTGCCCAATCATGATACCAGAATTAACCACTACTGACCCCAACCCAACCAACGCTCTTATCATGCACCCATCCCTGTAACACATATCCCCATCTGATTCTGATACACTCAATAGCTGCTTGGCTAGAATTTAAGTTCCAGGAAGGTGAGGCTTTAGGCTGTTTTGTTCACTAGCTGATCCCAGTACCCAGAAAATGCCTGGCCCATAGCAACCTTTCAATCTATAATTGTTGAACAAAAGAATGATTAAATCTGGGAGTGATTTAAAACACACTTGCAGAAATTTCGTTTCCTGGTTAATTATTACTAGCTACTAGCACCTAAAAGAAAACTGCTTAGGACATTATTTAAAATGTGTTCAGATGGGGGGGATAAAACAAATTCAATCAGAGTCCTAGAGATCTGCCTGGCCGTTGTTCTCACAGTTCGCCTTATAAGGATGCACAGAAACCACCTATGTAAATGCACACAGCAGATACGTGTAAATGGGAATTTCTACTATAATACATTTATCACGACTTTTAGGTACTCACATATTAGTATAAAATAAGTTTTATTAAAACGGTCTAAAAGCACTGTGCTTACTGGAAGAAGCCACAATAAGTTTTCAGTTTCACTTACTCCATTAAAACAAAAAAATAGGAATGAATGCATTTAAAGAAACGGGGACGGGGGAAGAACATGTTACACAGAGAATTACTTACCCTTTGTTGGCAGATCCACTTTATTTCTATGTTAAACCCTACATCTTCTGGCAAAGACTCTAAAACCTAGAGTTTTGTTTGTTGGTGTTGAATTTTGTTTTATTTTTGGTGAAATGAATGGTAGAATAAGAGAAAAAAAAGAAAAACAAAATTATTACAAAAAGCAATCTGTGAGAAAACATATCACTAGTAAGGATAAATGTTTTGTGCCTTCAGCATAAACCACTATCTTTCATACTCAAACTGACAACCACACTGATTAAGAGAGACAAAGAAATTAAACAGCAAAAGCAAGTAGTCTTAGGCAGTATCTGTGAAAACCAATCACTACTACCACAAAGATGGATCCTTAACTTAAAATTTTTTTCACCATTACTTTACTGGACATCCAAAGTGAGCTGTAATAACTTAGGTGACCTCAAGGATTTAAGAAGACATTTGTTGTGTTTTCTGAATTTCATTCAAGTATATCAATCTACTATACCAAGATATGGTTATATGAAAAACCATGGTTCCTAACTTGTTTTGAAGGTAGTGCTTCCCAACAATATCATGTTGATAATTCCCTGAAAAGATGTTATCTCCAAAAGAAAGATGATACCAAGGCTCATAAATAAGGCTATGACTATATAAATGAACAAATAATATGGTGTCAACTTATCTAAACTAAGTTATCTGACACTCTGCAATAAACCATTTTGGCAGTGTCATTAGAAAATCAAATTGAAAATATGAAGCCTGGTTATGAACCTATAAAGAGCTGACTTGTTTAGTCTTCAAACATGAAGGCCAGGCAAATACATAAACATGCTCAGGGCAAAAGGAATTTGAAACAGATTGTGTTTTTAACTTCAATTTATTTCAAAACTTTAGAAATCATTTAACATGTACAGTACATATGATATTTGCTTTTATAACAGCAAATAAAGCACACTAACAGAACAATGTAATTAATAGCAAGAACATAGCCTGGGAGTCTGGTGACCTGGGAACTAGCCCTGGATCTATACTAACCAGCTGCAGAAAAAGTACAGTACCTGAGTTTGTACTCAAGTATGTGTGAGGCTTCTGACTTTTTTCTCTTTAACCATATTTATTTAACATACCCATCACATTTTTACTGAGCCAATGCAAAATTAGAAAACTAAAGTCAACATTATATATTAGCGTTGAGATTGCGAAACGTCAAATTTGCAGAAAGATCCTCCTTTATACTGAGATTGTATTTGGCCTTTTTTGTGTTTTAAAATTTCTCTGTGATTTAATTATAGTGATGGCAATGAGTGAATGAATGAGTGTGTGTGTGTTTAACTTATTTGGCTAAGCAAATACTGTCAAACTTTTCACAAACAATTTTTTTAAAAACTGTTTTCTATTCTATGAAATCACAAGCCTCGGAATCATGAGATTTCTAAGAACCAAATGATTTCAGAATTTTGGAATAGAAAGAATGACTTGACTTAGCTGGGCTTCATAAATATCTGAAAAATTATTCAAATCATGTTTTAAATGCACTAAGTGTCCATATAGGAGGTCTCTTGTAGCATCCTTTTTGTAGGGTGAATAATCATGATAAATTGAAATGACCCATTTTTGCCTAAGTAATCTATAGCCCAACTTGTGTGGCTCAGTGGTTGTGCGTTGAACCATGAACCAAAAGGTCACCAGTTCAATTCCCAGTTGGGACACATGCCCTGGTTTTGGGCTTGATCCCCACTGGGGGCCGTGCAGGAGGCAGTTGATGTTTTTCACATTAAAAAATAGAAAGAAATCTACTATAGGTGACATCACCAAGAAAAGACAATGTAGAAGAGTAGAAGTTAGGATATGGAGCCTGCAGAATAAAAAGCAGAGCCAGCAGGGCTAAGGAGAAATGTCTGGTGTTCATGTAGGCTTGCCCGACACTATCAAACAGATTCCTCTTATAAATTGTGTCTAGTTTTTAAGTCTTCATGCCAGTTTTTGTTATACTTTAAGTAAATTCTTAAAATCTGTGTCTCATTTTAGGTAACCAGGGTCTTTATTTTCTTTGGAGAATCTCATTTCTCTCCAAGAATTAAGGAACAGTTAAAAATATTGTAAAAATGCCTCTCTTACCATCACATCTCTCTCCCACCCCACTTTCTATGCACTCTCCTTCCTGTTTATATACAGAAATATGTGAATTTCCTATTCTTACCAAATTAACCAGTTGAGGTGGGAATTTTTATTCATTTGAGCAGATGAATTACTCTTTTTTAAAAAAGGTAGTAGCATAGTACACCACATAAGAATGTATCTTCTCTAACAAGCATCAATGATGACAAGTTTATATTAATATTGCCTTTAACGCAAACTTTTTGGTGCCCATTTAAGAGACTAAAATTAATTATTCAGGTATAACAGAATTAATGAGACAGCCTTGCCCCAGTTTTCCTAAGGAACTTACCATCTTAAGGGAAGGAAATGGCTGATTTTCAGATAAAGCATTTTCTTCCTCAACCAACGATTCTGAAAAATTTAAATTAAAAAAACACAGTAGATAAAATACCATTTTATCACTAAGATCTTTTCCTAAATTCTCAGGGTAAAAAAAGACAAGCAAATTATGAAATCCCTTCATATGTAGTGTTTGAAGGCTCTTGTATTTATTAAACAATTATCCCCCCCGATTTTTGAAACAAGCATCCTTTTTGAAGATTATTTTACAATATTTAATAGAAACACCATATGCCCTGGCCAGTTTGGTTTAGTAGCTAGAGTGTCAGCCTGAGCACTGAAGGGTCCGGGTTTGATTCTAGCCAAGGGCATGTACCTCAGTTGCAGGCTCCATCCCCCAGCAGGGGTGAGCGTGGAAGGCAACCAATCCATATGTCTCTCTACACTGACGATTCTCTCTCTCTCCCCCTTCCACTCTCTCTGAAAAGCAATGGAAAAATTGGGGTTTTTTCCAAAAAAAAAAATCCTCGGGTGAGGATTTAAAAAAAATAAATTAATTAATTAAATAAAAGTTAAAAAATAGAAGCACCATGGTCTGTGGCGCCAACAGTGACTATTTTCTTATAAAAGTTGTAATACTACTTTTTTAAAAAAAGTAGTCACAAGAGTGATTTGTTATTTCTTAATGGAATTAAGAGCTATGTCATCTTGCTAAGACTATTTGAAATATCAAAATCAGCTCACAAGGTAGAAATTAAGAGAATCTACAGCTACTAATATGCTTTGGTTACCACTGTGCTTAATCCAAAATAGATTCCACCTCAAGAAATAGAATAATTTTTTTTCCAAAAGAAAAAAAAAATTAGTATCAAGCTTTTCTTTAAAAAAAAAAAAAAAAAAAA